AATTATCCATCAGAACTTATGGCCATGGCTTCTGAACAGTCTGGCACCATCTCTTGCTTTTTATTTTATATTTAGGGCCCGAGCATGGAGCGCTAGGACCCAACGAGGTGCGAGGAACCTATTGTTATTGGTGGAATTATTCTTACGCCAACTTTCGTTTCCTGTTTTTGAGGGCTTTAGGATGCTTCAAAAGTTGTATAATTTTGCACGGATTCCAGGATCGGGGAAAAATTCAATATTCTGGTGTTCAAATTGTCCAACATGCTCTCTAGTGCCACCTATGACCATTTCCATTTTTGGAAAAATGTACAAAGTCGCACCGTAAGTCGGAATGACCTGAAATGTTGCACACTTATCCGTCTTGACCTGCTCTACAAATAATCCTCTTGGAGCCCTAAGCTCCGCCTACTTTTTTTTTTTTCATTAGCATAATTAAAAAAACAGTGAAATATTCACTTAAATTTCCATTTTTAGTTTTTCGACACAAAACTTAGTATACAGCATCGGTGAAGGGTAACACACTTTACCATAGAAAATGAGCATGTTCAGAAGATAAATATTGCCGCCATGAATCAAAACGTACTCGCAAAAGGTGGGGCTTAGAAAGAAATGCTCATAACTCATCAACAATATATCCATATATCACAGATTTTGGTGGCTAGGTTCAGTCTGTCTTGGGGAATACACACACCAAAGCATTTTCAGTTTGGACTATAGGGGGCGCCAAAAACACCACCAATTTATAACTCAAGAACGGATGGACGAATTATTTTTCTTTACACATACTCTCGGGGTGACTACGAACTGAGATTTAAAGTGTCGCCACAAATTCAGAATGTGGGCGTGGCCTATACATTTTTTTTAAATTGCGATAGCATAAAATGAGCTTCGGACGCAAAACTTGGGACACACGTAAAAAAAAGTAATTTTTCAAAAAAACTGCTCACTAGCGCCCCCTATTGTGTGGTAGTCACATATAGTTTCTCAGAACTTCACGAATTTTGGCACAGACATCCCTCATGGAATTGAGGACATATTTGTAAATAGCTTCCATTAGCCCCGCCCCCCAGGAAGTCGGCCATTTAGAAAAATGTGCGTTTTTCATGCATTTTAAGCACATTTTTGCTAATTCGTCATAGGGAAATGATCGGAAAAATTCCAATCTAGGACAACTTAAGCGCATATCCAATGTGATGCTAAATTGCCAAGAAAATTGTTGATAGCTCAATCGGGGAGGTCGTAAGCTAACAGCGAATACACCATTTTTGACGATTTACATGTCGCAAATTACTCCAAACTACTCGCATATAGTTTAACACACTCTCACTCCATAATGGCCTGTCCACACAGCAGCGTTAAAAAAATCTTGGAGGTGGGCGTATCTGAAGCTTGGGGATTTTTTGCGAGCAAGGCACCAACAACCAATCACATGAATCTCCCGCCCCCGACATACGAAGCAAAAAAGTTTGAAGTAAACTGGATATAAACTCCCCAAACAGGCGAAAACATACCACTGTCTCTGCGAGTCACAATAGTCCGATATAAGCATGAAGACACGGACCGTTAGCCCCGCAGTCATCCGGTTCGACCTGACTATGGCTGTGTGACTGACCCGAGCCTCGTCGTTCTGATAGCTCCGCCCCTTCGCTCAAACCCCCCTCCCTCCCCCCACATCTACAGGTGAAAATTAGTTTTGCGACACATTCATCGCAAGAAGTGTAGCAAAAGTCAAGGCTGCAGATTCGTCGATTTATACTGCCACAGAGCAGATTCGTGAAGTTGTAATGACTGATTTGAGAGGTTGTAATAACCAAGTTGCAGTTGTAATGGAAAATATATATTTTTCTGCAAGTGACCAAGCTTTCTCCACAGACAGAATGGCTTCGAGGCACAGAGCTTCTGTGCTTGGAACCATTGAGTTGTATTTCTCAACTGTGGCTGTCAGGACCCCTTTCTCATCCCTGATCTTGCGGCGGATCCGGGAACGACCTTTGTTGCTGTCTGTGTCTTTGTAGAGACGCTGCGAACGTCTCTTGACACTTACTTTGTATTTCGATCTTGCTGGCCAAGGCAGCAGCATCCCTTGGGTTGTTTGTTGTTGCTTTTTAGAGGAAATAGGTGTATTAAGCACAGTAATTCACAACTAGAGAATGCAATTCCTGAAGAAATTGCTAGTGGGAATGCTTTATGCTGAAAATCTGACGCTAAACTGCTATGCTGAAATGTAATGTGTAAGAAGAAAGTGAAGAATTTAGATTGAAATGATACATGAACACTGGGGGCTTGAATGTGTGATGAGAGAAGAAAAGAGAGTAAAAAGGCTTGGAAAAGCAGCAGAATATTTGAACTGCAAACCTTTGAACTAACTTGATGGTGAATGATCTGTCGCCATGCCAACGGCATTTGATGACATCCCATAATAAGCTTAGATGCATTGATGGCTGCATCGTTACCAAACCTGTGAAGTTTTGGGCCATTTGGAGCATTTTCACTGAAGTTATGAGAAAACCGTGTTCCATGGCGAGCCTTGTGTTACCATGGCAACGGCATTTGAAGAAACCCCATAATTGACGTAGAGCTGTTGAGGCATGGACCGGTGATATACGTGATATGAAGATTGGGGGACGATTGGACCGTGTCCATTGGACTTACAGCGACATCGTGTTTAATGGCGAGTGGTCTGTCGCCATGGCAACGGCATTTGATGACACCCCATAATACGCTGCATCGTTACCAAACCTGTGAAGTTTTGGGCCGTTTGGAACATTGAGAGAGAGAGAGAGAGAGAGAGAGAGAGAGAGAGAGAGAGAGAGAGATAGAGAGAGGAGAGAGAGAGAGAGAGAGAGAGAGAGAGAGAGAGAGAGAGAGAGAGAGAGAGAGAGAGAGAGAGAGAGAGAGAGAGAGGTTAGAACTGACTCTTGATCGCCCTCTCTCTCTTCTCTTGAACGGCATATGATGAGTAACACCTTCATGCCGATCTAGATCCCTCCGCTTCGCGTCGGGCTCCTGATCTGCCTGTCGGTGTTCTTTTACCCATAATGACCGCGTCGCTGCACATTATCCCGCTTATTACATGGCCACATTCTCAACAAAGTAACGATATGACTCCCAATATTAATTGAAATGCTTTTATTGTTTTAGAAAATGTTTTTAATGATTAAAAACATAGTTGTAACTGATTTAAAATGACATTCATCCGCTACGAAAAATAGTCCGTTGTTGATGTTTGAACTAGGCTGTTGCAACGGCAGGAACTGCTTCGATAGCAACTAACTCTGTGCATGTTAGCATTTGAGCCTTAGCTGTAATTAACATTAACCTGAACGTTTCCATTAATAGTACAATGTGACATGGTGAATGGGAAATCTTTAGGGATATTGAGATCAACGTTTCTGTCCTCGATCCTCTCTCCTTGCGGGGGTTTCGCAAATGACACATCTGAAAGCACAATTCCCAACATGTAAAAAAACGGGAAACAATATTGCCACAGTTGTATCGCTACCGCTAATGTGTGTGTAAGGACAGACAACATGGAAAGGCACTGACCCGATGTGGTGCTCTTGTCTTGTCAGTTCGAAAAGCAAACTGCATGCAGTTTGCTTTTCAGCCAAACTGTATACAGTTCAATCGACCGGACTTCTTTCTGCAGATTTGAGCGTCCTTAACGGTCATAAATCCTTGACAGCGGTCTGTCTGTTCTGGATTAACAACGTGTCACGTGTTCTGAATTGACCAATCAGAATCGAGTATTCAACTAAGCCATGTAATAACACCCCATAATTGACGTAGAGCTGTTGAGGGCACGACCATTAACCATTATCTGAAGTCAGTTGGAGTGATGACATCATCGTGTTCCATCGCACAGGTGTTTATAGTTGAGCTAACGAGGTGCCTAGACTTCAAAGGTTTCATTGTTCTGAATGAGAGATGAACCTCTTACATGTGAATGTTTTGTGGAAGAACGATATCTGTGAAATTTCAAAACGTGAAGCATGTTAAGGAAGTTGAGTATCTGAAGTCTAATTTTTGTGTACTTTCGGGTTAATAATGTGGCCTTTTTGGCAGTTTAACTAAAGGTGTGCGGCTGCTGCTGTGAGGAAATATCTGCCTGAAATTACAATGGGCTTTAATGGAGACATGTTGAACGTTGTTGTCACTTCATGCCCTCAAGAGGCATTTTGTTTAATTATTTTGCTTAATTATTTGTCATTTTTCAAGCTACGAGATGTTTTCCTACGTTTGTCATGAAAAATGATGTCTCAAGAATGTAGGGTTTGGGAATTATGGCAGTTTTAAAAAAAAATATGAAGGCAAATTTCAAGATTTCCTACCCTCTAGCTGTGACATCATGCACTCTAGTTAATGTTAAAATCTGAAGAAAACCTCTTTAACAAGGTCTGAACAATGTTTAATATCTCTAAAAGTAAGAACACAAAGTTGTGTTACACGAATAATGTCAGAAAGATGTGTAACATTTTAAAGTTGGAATGAGATTTCTGAGTGAAAGTATGAATGAACAGTTAGCAGTTGAAGTCGCATGAAGATTTGTTGAAGTCTGAAGAATGTCTCCATTGACTTCCATGTTAAAAATTGGATGAATTATGGGATGTATCTCTGGAATTATGAAAGTTATGAATGATAAAAGTAATAGCCATCGATTCCCGACCGAGCTGAACGTTTTGATGTTTGAACGGAGTTTCTGCGATGTTGAATGTGGGAGGAGAAGACGGACAAAATAATTGGATGGAATAATAATAAGAAGAATTTTGTCCTTGGATAACATATAGTTGGAATGCTGTATCAGCATTCCCACTAAATAACAGTGACATTTGATCAAATGTTTTAATATTATTTTATTACATATGCTTCATGAAAAAGAAGTAATGCAAATGTCAATAGAGGGTTATCACTAATTCAGAAAATTAAAAATAAATTGATAAATCATGACTCCAAAAAAGTTGAAAAACGTCATTAAGATTGTCCTCACTTTCTGTCCACTCATTCACATCTCTGACCCAGTCTTCCAGCTGCTTTTCAGTCACTGCCAACTCAGCCTTCATGGACTCCAGGTTCTGCAATTGCTTTTCCAGAGCTTTTGTGGTCTACAAACGTCAAACAATTAAAGACAAGTAAATACAGAAATTTACATTTAGGCTGCAGCCACAAATAATTCTAACAAAGAATATGTAATTCTTCTAAAACGATGTTATTACCTTCAGATATCTGCGGGACAGTGAGGTGGCCAAGTTGCTGACTTTTTGCTGATTCCAGCGCATGGCCATCAGCGTCAGCATGTCTGTACGTCCTGCAAAAGAGAATATCACATTATTACTATTCCCCTTACTTCTTATACTGTAACTGGGGTTTATACTATATTGCCATCCTAAATTGTGTTCTATGGTCATAACCGTCAATGAGCTTTTATGAGTTTGTGTTGTTGGTGTAATTTGTTAGTGTCATCTGTGCCTTTCTGAACATTTTTTGAAAACTGACAGTAAAGGTTCTATCGTAACTCACCTGCTTTTGACATGTGTTTTGTGGTCACTGCTATCCGAGAGAGGAAGGCATTGACCTGTTCCACCTCCTCCCCTAGGGTTAGTCCCTCTTGATATGCCCCACTCCATTTCACCTGTTTAAAATATATTCAAAAGTACGACTCGTTACAACTTGTCACTATTCACAAGGAGGTTTTTACATAAAGTGATTGTGTCACATGGTAACAATTCCTTACTTCACATTTGAAGTCATGCGCTTTGGCATGAAACACTGAGAGAAAGGGCTTCATGTCGAGAAGATGCTGGAGCTCTGGACAGCTTTTTGTGATTCTCTGGAGGTAGGGCCAATATTTGCGGGTCACATCCATGCAAAAGAACATACTACTGGCCAGCTTTTTCTGTAGGTACAGGGGATAAGCAAAGATTTCTCCCCTGTACATATTGAGAGCACAGAGGAGCACTCCATGTCGACAGACGGCAAGCTCTAGTCCCTCCTCATCCAGCTTGCCGGCTGATTTTTGGGAGGTCTCTCTGGCTGCCGACCACTGTCCTCCACAAACACCTCTTCCGGAGACCTAATATATAAAAATGTATTGATGAAAATGGTGCAAAGACTAACCTAACCAAACCCTTCATTAGGATATTATATTCTATTATACATAATTAGAGTCTGCAATATTACATGTTTGGTTGTGGTGTGTATATAGTCCACAAATCTTGAGACGTCTTCATCCCTGGCTATAAAGACACCGTCAAAGATGCCCTGTTCCTCAGATCTAAATAAATCAAAGGAGCAATGTATGACATCTCAGATTATAAGGTTGATTGGTTCACATCAAGATACTTTTGTTTCGTTATTTGTTCAAATACTGTGACATTATATATTTTCTATAGTACCTAGCTGCATTCTTGAAACGGTAATGCTTGCGGTTTCCATCCACGGAAACTGCAAGCATATCAGGGCTACACGCAGGACAGGTGAAGGGCTCCTCCTTGCACATGATGTCCACCTCATAACGCACAGCCTCCCACTCAAAGAAACTTTTGATGAAGCTGTCAGTTGAGATCTTCCCAGTCTATAACAAAATAAGGACATCAACAGATAATTATATGTCAAAAATAAATTATAAATTATAAGGACACAGCTTACAATTTGTACAATACAAATAGATCAAAAAGGACAAGTAACTTCAATACTCACATGGCCGAAGCGCAACGTTCGCTGATCTAGCATCCTTAAATATGCCTGAAAGGATAGTCCAGGTGCAGCCATTTTCATTTCTTCAAATGAGAAGAAAACATCTGTGGCATAAATGGTGGCGAAGTGAAGGGTAGCTGGCCAGTAGTCACTCCGAAGAAGGTCGTCAACCCCAGTCGTCCATGTCGCAGCGCATGCTTCACAAGCCAACTCTGGCATGCTTAGCTCATGTCGTCCTTGAAAAACAGACAAGGTGTTTTTAATACATTTGGTATTCTTTACTCAATACCCATGTTAAGGTTTAATAAACAAGCTATCCCACATGTGCGGGTCTTTGAGAAGGGTTGGATATTATCAAGAAGAAACTTCAATAACATCTATCTTAAGAAACAAGACAAACATTCTTTCCATTCTTACCATTCATTGTGATCACAGTCACAGTCTTTCCTGGCTTGAGGCCCAATGACTCTGATGCACAACCACAGATTTTGTCCGGGATCTCCACAGGTACAAACCGCACTGGAAAAAAATTCAAATGGGAATTAAAAATAATTTGTCTCTTTTGAGAAATACAACATTGTTATGTGACATATTTACGATTTAACTTTACATCAGAACATTAAAAAGAGACTTAAGCACACTGCTGGGAATTATCACAGAGATGTTGAGGAAGCTCACATTTTCAAAATGAAGTTCTCAACAAGTCCAGCAAGAAAATGTACATTCACAAACCAGAACTTACCACAGGAGCAAAGGGCCATATTTGTGTTGTTGGGGCCAATGGCTGGAAGTAACCTGCAGTAGTAGCATCTCTGTTGTGGAGGGGGTGTCTGGTGTGCATGCTGACATCACAGTCAGCACAGAAGAAGGGATGTGGTCGGCAATCCCGGCACCGGACAACAGACGTTTTGCTCCAACACTGTTGCAAATGTGTGTTCCCACATTTGCTTGGGCCACTACGGTGTTAACCAGATGTGGTCTCGCTGCCCTCCAGCTCTCTGAAAAAAAACTTTTTCGAGTGCTCCAGTTGGTCGATGCCAGCAGAGAAGCACTTGGGGTTTGTGCTACCACCTCATCTCCTGTAGTATCGCTCAGAGACTGCTGGAGATCTCGTAGAAACCCCTCTGTTAAAATGGTACAATAAAGTCCAAAGCACAATGATTAGTTTTCTTTAAAACATACTGGATGGAGTGGTTTTGAAAGCTGTAACTACTGTGTTCTTAATTCTAGCAAATGATGAAGTTTAGAAATGAAGTACGTATCACATAAAGATACAAGTATGAATATGTGTTTCGGGCTAACCAGACCAAATGAAGTACATACCAACAGTCTCTGGAGCGATAGCTGGAGCAAAGACCAGATCACAGTCAGGGTCAGGAGCATCAACGGGGGGATCAGTGTTACGACTGCAGCCAGCTGTATCAGAAAAAACATTTATTTCATACCATTAAATTGTACTACTTTTCCCTTACCAAGAGTTATGTTTTCATTCATTTCATATACTCAAGTGCCTAGAAATATATATCTTATACTGACCCTGATTGGAGTCATTCCGGGTTGAACGTGGTCTTGCAAAGATCAAGTTTCCCTCACTGTCTCTCTTCTTCCAGCACATCATTGACACTGCTGGCACTGCTGTTGCTGTTGCTGCTGCTGCTGCTGGCACTGCTGCTGCTGTTGCTGCTTCCACTTTCTGAAACTTACAAAGCAAATCATCAGCACTCCGTAGGTCATCCCTGAACTCTTTCTGCTCAACCAGCTCATCTGCGCTTCTCAGGAGATCCTCGAGATCAGAATCACTCATTATAGTGAAGAGACACAGACAGAGACACAGAAGAAAGACTGACAACAGAGTTAGACAGAGAAAGAAATAGAGAGATAGGAAGAGACTATCAAGTACAACACAGCAAGGACAGTTTAACAAGACAGACTTGGCTCTTAAAGTGCCTTTGGGTTGTTTGGAGTTTGGAAAAACCAAGGGTTGTTTTTTGGAGAACAAATTGCAGGATCTGTTGACAGAAAACAACATAATTTAGAAACTCAAAAATAAACAAACAATGCCAGTGTAATTGTTGTTGTTTACAACTTTTCTACTTGGCTAATAACTAGGGCTGTCAGTCGATTAAAATATTTAATCGCGATTAATCGCACATTTTGTATCTGTTCTAAATGTACCTTAGAGGGATATTTTTCAAGTTTGTAATACTCTTATCAACATATGAGTAGACAAATATGCTTTATATGTTTGTTTATTATCATTTGAACAATGACAAATATTCTCATGAATATTAAACACAACAACCTCTGAACAATACAAATATTCGCCTCAATTCAACCTGGAACTTTCATAAAATAATAAAATAATGTGTGTGTGTGTGTGTGTGTGTGTGTGTGTGTGGTGTGTGTGTGTGTGTGTGTGTGTGTGTGTGTGTGTGTGTGTGTGTGTGTGTGTGTGTGTGTGTGTGTGTGTGTGTGTGTGTGTGTGTGTGTGTGTGTGTGTGTGTGTGTGTGTGTGTGTGTGTGTGTGTGTGTGTGTTGTGTGTGTGTGTTGTTGTGTGTGTGTGTGTGTGTGTGTGTGTGTGTGTGTGTGTGTGTATAGACACTGTGATGGATCGTTGGAGCTATGTGCAGCTCAAGGCATATATGCTCGAACGGAAGCTGCCTGGACGCTGCAATCATGTTGCGCGCACTATCCGTGCTGAGTGTGCTGACTTTTCGTACAATGTCCCACTGTCTGGCTACCTGCATAAAGTCAAGTGCTCGGTGCAGTTGTCGGCGAAATGTCGCTCCTCTGTTTTCATTGAAACAGCTCCTTATATCCGCTAGCACAGCTAGCTAGCACCAGATGCTAACAACAACAACACGTAAGGTGTGCCTAGCTCGCGCCACACATACACACACCCTCCCGGTCCTCCCGATGGCCAGTCCTGGCCTGCCGGTGAGCGTGGAAGTGTGGTCTGCCACAAGCGGGCGGCAGGAGCGGGGCTGTCAGCATCAGCTTGTAGATGGTATTTTAAACTCGATGCGCTCTGAAACTACGGGGCGGCCGAGGACAAAAAATACACATGCGTTAATCGCGTTAAAATAATTAGTGGCATTATTTTTTTTATTATTAACGCGTTAACTTGACAGCCCTACTAATAACCAATTAATGCTTACTACTGTTGTCATTAAAGGTATTTTCACACCATCGCACAGCAAAATCACTGCCACCAGTCAATTAAATAAGTAATTTGTACAAAAATTATAAAAGTATTATTACTATTAATAATAAAAACACATGTATACAAAGTATTATTAATAGATTTACGATTAGAAAATTATAAAAGCAGAGTAGACATGTGGAGATTATCCGGCTGAACAAAACGTGATCCGTCTCTTAAATGTGTGTCAACCACAGACCTTATTTCGAGCTATTTTCCAAAATCCTATGGAGAAATTGCAGTGCGTTTTCTAGCTAGCTAGCTAGCTCAGGCGAGTTCATTTGTTATATTTGGGTAATACCCTATATTATTTAGTTACTATACCCCTCAGAAAGGTGCCAGAAACAACATTGGCGCCGATTAGATTATTATTATTATTATTATTCATGGCTAAATTGATCGTATTTCCTATAACTATGTGTTACCCATGCTCTTACCTTGATTCTGAAGAACTGCGACTCTCTCATCCAGGTTTGGTCACGTAAAGTGCAAAGGTATGCCGTCTTTACGACGGTACCTGAGGATTGTGGGTAATGTAATCGCAAAGCGGACAGGCGTCGTCACAACAATAGCTGAGGATTGTGGGTAGTGTAGTGTCTTCGGCCATCCAAAACTCATAGAAAACTACTTGTTTCTCAGAATTGAAGGGGAAAACGTGACAAAAGCATTGTACACTAAAACCTATCAATGTTGTTTAATTAACAAGGATAATCTGATGTTTTTGAGTTAATGAGTAGTGCAGATATCACCTATTTATGTTTCATCCAATCACAGAGCTTGTTGACTTATCACAAGGTTTTGTCGCAAAGCGGACAGAAGTCGTCACAACTATAGCTGGGGATTGTGGGTAGTGTAGTCTCTTTAGCGCTCCACATTTCAGAGAAAACAAGTTTTTTCTCAGAATTGAAGGGGAAAAACATAAAAGCATTGCACACAATTTAAACCTATCAATGTCGTTTAATTAACAAAGATAATATGGTGTTTTTGAGTTGATGAGTAGTGCAGATATCACTGTCAAATCAATCGACAGTAAGGAGAATACTTACTTCCGCTTATGGAGTGAGAGTGTGCTGGCATTTTAAGCACATTTTTGCTAATTCGTCATAGGGAAATGATCGGAAAAATTCCAATCTAGGACAACTTAAGCGCATATCCAATGTGATGCTAAATTGCGAAGAAAATTGTTGATAGCTCAGGTCGTAAGCTAACAGCGAATACACCATTTTTGACGATTTACATGTCGCAAATTACTCCAAACTACTCGGATATCGTTTTTCCGATATTCACGAAACGCTGTATACACATTGCTCTTATGATTGCGGACATATTTCAAATTGGCTTTTATTAGCCCCGCCCCCCAGGAAGTTGGCGAT